ATGCTATATTTATGTTGTTTTAATCTTAGTTCGAGATTTTTACCAGTTTGACCGTAATAAACTTTATCGCAAATTTTACAAGGAATCTTATAGACACATCCATCAGCATTTTGGGGGGAATTCTTAATCAAAAGTTTTTTTACTGCATCAAGATTTTTGAATACAACTTTAATATTAAAAGTCTTAAGAAGAGAAGGCATATCAACCAAGTTTTCATGGTAAGGGAGAACCAACATATTTTTAGTTGAATAAGGCTGGTTGCCCTTTTTTTGGATTATAAAAAGTGTTCCTAGCAAGTTTAAAAGATTTATCAATTACATTTCTTGGGTATTTTAAATCATTACCTATTTCATAAATTTTGGATATTTCCTCATCTATGAACTCAGGACTACAAATTCGTAAAGCTCTCAAAAACATTGATGAGAAAACAGACAGTTTGACTCTATCTTGATGCGAGGAATAATAGTGGACATAGGAACAGTTATTTGTAGGTTTTCTGTAAATTTTAAATTTGAATTCATTATTACCCTTAATAATTAAAACATCTAGAAAAGGCAAAGAGTTATTTTCTTCAAACTCAACAGTAAAGTTTATAGAATGGGCTAAGCTATTTAATTTTCCAAGAAAATGGTGTATATCTACATTTTTGGGCATAAGACACAAAATATCATCAACATATCTGAACCATTTAGCTCTATTAGGGAGGATTGTGTTAAGCAACCTTGTTTCAAAAAATTCCATGTATAGGTTACTAAGAACAGGTGAAAGAGGATTTCCCATTGCCATACCAAACTTTTGAGTGTAAAACTTATCATTAAATACAAATTTTGCATCAACAATGCAAAGTTTAATAAGTTTAATGATAGTTGGAACTGGCAATGGTAAATCATAGTTAACGAGTTCTTCAGATAAGAAACTTAATAAATCATCAACAGGAACTTTCGTAAACAAGGAAGTAACATCAAAACTAACCATGTTAAAATCATTTAAGTCAGTCAAGGAGCTTAATTTATCAACCAAGTCTATGTTGGCAATGGGAAATCCTCTTTCACCTGTTCTTAGTAACCTATACATGGAATTTTTTGAAACAAGGTATAACACCAGGCACATCTCCTGAAGCGCACATCAACCAAATAACTGCTGCAGCATATGGGCGCCTAGCAAACCTCAGAACAGCATTCCGACATCTTAATAAGGAATCATTCAGGACCCTGTACACCGTGTATGTTAGGCCCATATTGGAGTATGCGGCACCAGTTTGGAACCCACACCTAGCCAAGCACGTGAAGAAACTAGAGAAAGTGCAAAGGTTTGCAACAAGACTAGTCCCAGAGCTAAGAGGTATGTCCTACGAGGAGAGGTTAAGGGAAATCAACCTGACGACACTGGAGGACAGGAGAGATAGGGGGGACATGATAACGACATACAAAATACTGAGAGGAATTGACAAGGTGGACAAAGACAGGATGTTCCAGAGATTGGACACAGTAACAAGGGGACACAGTTGGAAGCTGAAGACACAGATGAATCACAGGGATGTTAGGAAGTATTTCTTCAGCCACAGAGTAGTCAGTAAGTGGAATAGTTTGGGAAGCGATGTAGTGGAGGCAGGACCCATACATAGCTTTAAGCAGAGGTATGATAAAGCTCACGGCTCAGGGAGAGTGACCTAGTAGCGATCAGTGAAGAGGCGGGGCCAGGAGCTCGGACTCGACCCCCGCAACCTCAACTAGGTGAGTACAACTAGGTGAGTACACACACACACACACTCACACACACACACACACACACACACACACACACACACACACACACACACACACACACACACACTCACTCTCACACACACACTCACACACACACACACACACACATACACACACACACACACACACACACACACACACACACACACACACACACACACACACACACACACACACACACACACACACACACACACACACACATACACACACACTTGGAAGGTTAACTACTCGGTAAATTACACTGAATTTCTACATGAATCAAAGGCCAAGACCGAGAATTTCCCTGGGATAAGAGGTTCTTGATCAACAGGTCTGTTGTGGTCTCGACAAACAGGTGTAGTGTAGTCTTGACCAACAGGTCTTGTGTGGTCTTTACCAACAGGTCTAGTGTAATGTTGACCAACAGGTCTGTTCTGGTCTCGACCAACAGGTCTAGTATAGTCTTGACCAGCAGGTCTTGTGTGGTCTTGACCAGGTCTGTTGTGGTCTTGACCAACAGGTCTAGTATAGTCTTGACCAGCAGGTCTTGTGTGGTCTTGACCAACAGGTCTAGTGTAGTCTTGACCAACAGGTCTAGTGTAGTCTTGACCAACAGGTCTAGTGTAGTCTTGACCAACAGGTCTAGTGTAGTCTTGACCAACAGGTCTAGTGTAGTCTTGACCAACAGGTCTAGTGTAGTCTTGACCAACAGGTCTAGTATAGTCTTGACCAACAGGTCTAGTATAGTATTGACCACAATTTTTCTTGGTATATGTGAAGAACGTTTGTACTTTCTCTCGTTTTGCTCCCCTCCTTGACGGATTCAAACGTTACTCACCGATGGCGTAAATCCTCGCAGTGATCGTGATGAATCCAAACACTACTCACCAGTGACGTAAATCCGTGCAGCGTTCGCGGATTCATGGGTGGCTCCCGTGAGAGTGTGCACAGCTCGGCAGCGGAACGCCAGCTGGGAATCAGACGAGCGAATATCTCGAACAACCAGCTGGCCCGTAGACACCATCTGTATGCGACCATCTGTATGTGAAAGAGAGAGAGAGACAGAGGATAGAGAGAAACTAAGAGAAAATTGCTGCATTAACAAATTCCATTTACCTTCATTAATTGCAAAGCAAGACTAAAAAAATCACCTTAAAATATATAATCCAAAATAGAATGACTTACGATGGACTAATTACTGCAAGCCGGCAAGGCAAAGCTTCAATTATCATCACGTACATAGAGCAGCGGAGAGCAGAGGAAAGCAGAGCACAGCAGAGCTCCAGCGCAATGCAGTCTGCGTGACCAGATAATATACCTTACGGAAATAAAGGCCGGAGAACCTTCTAATACAAATTTTCGTATCTAAGATTTTGTACATTATTAAAGACGGTTGGAACAATTCCTTTATAACGAACTACGTTCTTACCGGTTTTAACGGTTTTTACGGTGTTAACGGTTTTGACGGTTTTGACGGCCTTAACGGTTTTAATTCGAAATCACTTAAGAAATAACTATTTACAGATATAAACAAGAAGTTTATATACCGTCCGGTCTAATTATAAACTAGAAGCAATATAAACTTGACTATACTGATAAGAGCAAGTAATTAACATTATTGTGCTAACATTTATGAAGAAAAGTCCTTTACTAAGGCAAGGGAGTAAGAGAGAGAGAGAGAGAAGAGAGAGAGAGAGAGAGAGGGAGAAAGATATATATATATATATATATATATATATATATATATATATATATATATATATATATATATATATATTTATGTATATATATATATATTATATATATATATATATATATATATATATATATAATATATATATATATATATATATATATATATATATATATATATATATATTAAGAGAGAGAGAGAGAGAGAGAGAGAGAGAGAGAGAGACAGACAGACAGAGAGATAATAGAGGGGGAGGGAGATAAAGGGGAGAGTTGTGGCCACAATGTCCCAGAAGGGAAGAAATCGAGGTAATAGATGGGAGGAAACTGTTGATTTACTGCCCGTGTGTTGGAGGTCAGTGTGGGTCATGTTTCCCTCTCTCTCTCTCTCTCTCTCTCTCTCTCTCTCTCTTACACACACACACACACACACACACACACACACACATGATAACAACATATAAAATACTGCGCGGAATAGACAAGGAGAACAAAGACATGATGTTCCTGAGATGGGACACAGAAACAAGGGGTCAAAATTGGAAACTGAAGACTCAGATGAGTCAAACAGATGTTAGGAAGTATTTTTTCAGTCATAGAGTTGTTAGGCAGTAAAATAGCCTAGAAAGTGACGTAGTAGAGGCGGGAACCATTCATAGTTTTAAGACGAGGTTTGATAAAGCTCATGGAGCAGGGAGAGAGAGGACCTAGTAGCAACCAGTGAAGAGAAGAAGCCAGGAGCTATGACTCGGCCACTGCAACCACAAATAGGTGAGTACAAATAGGTGAGTAAACACACACACATACACACACACACACACACACACACACACACCCCTGCAATCTCAACTAGGTGAGTACACACATATACACACATTAAACTACAGACCAGTGTCACTGACGTGTATATTATGCAAAGTCATGGAGAAGGTTATCAAGTGAAGAGTGGTGGAGCACCTAGAAAGGAATGAGCTCATCAACGACAACCAGCATGGTTTCAGGAACAAGAAATCCTGGATCACAAACCTACTGGAGTTCTATGATAGGGTGCCAACAGTAAGACAAGAGAGAGAAGGGTGGGTAGACTGCATTTTCATGGACTGGAAGAAGGTGTTTGACACAGATCCACACAAGAAATTAGTGAAAAAGTTGGAGGACCAGGCAGGGATAACAGGGAAAGCACTGCAATGGATCAGGGAATACTTGTCAGGAAGAGAGCAGCGAATCATGGTACGCGGCGAGGTGTCAGAGTGGGCGCCAGTGACGAGCGGGGTTCTTCGGGAGTCAGTCCTGGGACCGGTGCTGATTCTGGTATTTGTGAATGACATGACGCAACGAATAGACCCCGAGGTGTCCCTGTTTGCAGATGATGTGCAGTTGACGAAGACCAGGCAGAACTACAAAGGGATCTGGATAGGCTGCAGGCCTGGTCCAGCAACTGGGTCTTGGAGTGCAAAGTAATGAAGATTGGGGAAGGGCAAGGAAGACTGCAGACGGAGTACAGTCTAGGGGGCCAGAGACTACAAGCATCACTCAAGGAAAAGGATCTTGGGGTGAGTATAATACCGGGCACATCTCCTGAGGCGAACATCAAACAAATAACTGCTGTAGCATATGGACGCCTAGGAATCCTAAGAACAGCATTCCGACATCTTAATAAGGAATCGTTCAGGACCCTGTACACTGTGTATGTCACGCCTATACTGAGGTATGCAGCACCAGTTTGGAACCCACACCTAGCCAAGCACTTAAGGAAATTAGAGAAAGTGCAAAGATTTGCAAAGAGACTAGTCCTTGAGCTAAGGGGCATGTTCTACTATGAGAGGTTAAAGGAAATCGACCTGACGACACTGGAGGACAGGAGAATTTGGGGGGATATGATAATGACATATTAAATACTGATAGGAATCGACAAGGTGGACAGAGACAGGATGTTCCAGAGATGAGACACAGCAACAAGGGGTCACATTTGGAAGTGGAAGACTCAGATGAACTACAGGGATGTTAGGAAGTATTTCTTCAATCACAGAGTTGTCTAGGAAGTGATGTAGTGGAGGCAGGGTCAATACATAGCTTTAAGAAGAGGTAAAGCTCATGGAGCAGGGAGAGTGACCTAGTAGCGACCAGTGAAGAGGTGGGGCCAGGAGCTGTGACTTGACCCCTGCAACCATAACTAGGTGAATACACACAACACACACACATACACACACTCATATGTCGTCTAGACACTTTCGAATCATCAACAGTCACCCTCATATATAGTCACTTTAATATCATGAACAGTCACAGTAGTGTCATCAAAGGTCACCTTCGTATAAACTGTCGCCTTCAAATCATCATAATTCACCTTCATACCATGAAGGAAATGTTCTCTGTATTAACTCCTAACATCTATTACCTCACACTTCAGGTAGACAGACAGAAGCGTGTGACCCACGTGAATTCAGCTCTTCCCTTAAACAACAACAACAACAACAACAACAACAACAATAGCAATAATAATAATAATAATAATAATAATAATAATAATAATAATAATAATAATAATAATAATAATAATAATAATAATAATAATAATAATAATTAGGTAATCTTAAATACACGTATCATCTTTTTACTTCTTGGTGTTAGAATCTTGTCAAGTGTAAATAGGTTGACCTTCCAGTATTCTGTGGCAGATAAATTTGTTAAAATTATCTTTCTTGTCACGTCTTGCACTTCGACGTTTTTATTTCGTCAGTCCTTCCGTAATGTAGCAAATGAAATTCGTCCTCAGTGAACATCGTACTGTTATAAGTGATCCACTGGAAGATTTGGTTTATATCAGCTTGGAGGCTCGGTGTGTCATCTGTGGATGCCACTCTCACACAGATTCTAGTATCGTCTTCAAAGTATGATACAGTGCTATGTTTATGTCCTTGTCTATATCAGGTATGGGACTGAGAAACATGTGAGGAGAGTACAATGCCTTGGGGTGCAGAGCTTTTCACTGTAGCAGATCTCACTCTGTTTACTATTACTTTTTCTGGTTCCATTTATTAGAAAGTTAAATATCCATTCGCCCATCTTTCCAATTATTTCCTTTGCAGGCATATTGTGCGCAGTTATCCCATGGTAGCACTTGTCAAAGGTTTTAACAGAGTCAGTGTGACTACATCTGCATTTTGCTTGTCTTCCAGTGTATCCAGGATTATGTCGTGATGGTTCAACGACTACAAGAGGCAGGAGCGACCTGTTCTGGACCAGTGTTAGTCTGGGTTGTGCAACTGCTCCGATTCCATGTGATTCACATTCATTCATCTAAAATACTTACAAAAATCTTGATAATGTGGGAGGTGAACGCAATGACAATTGCTTTACTGTCACATTTGTGGAGTACTAACCTAACTGTGGTTGCAGGGGTCGAGTCATAGCTCCTGGCCCCGAGTGAGGCAATATCTGTGGTTTTTAATTACTGTGGGATGACTCTAGTGTCTAGACTCCTTGACAGAATATTTAAAGCACGTGATAATGGCTGTTTACTATTCTTGATGGATGCTGAGTTCCACGAGTCAGGGCTGGAGCAGAGTGCATGGGAATGCAGTCAGTGGCTTCTTGAGGTCAAGGCTGAGTAATAACTCACTGAGCAAAAACTGGAGCCTACATGGATGGTATTTCGGGGATCAACGCCCCCGCGGCCCGGTCCACGACCCTTAGTAAATGATATTGCCACTTATTTCTCCTAAAAGATAAAGATTTGCCACTTTTCACCTTTTTCATAAAAAGAGGACGTCCCACTCTTCATTTCTCTGGATATGTACCAAGAGATTAGTTACAACTCATAATGGCCATGTATGTCTGATTTTTTTTAATTAGACACATGTGCAACATTTGGGTATGTTTATTGTGGGAAACGTGTTGCACATCTGCTTAATTTATCAGCTTGATCCACCTGTCTACATTTATGAGATTTTATACGGTAAAGGATAGAGGAATTTCTCTTTAAGCCCTTACATGGCGCAGGACTGATAATTATTATATTATATACTAGGGTATCATCTGGTTTATATTAAATACCAAGGTATCATCTGGACAAGGGAGGTAGTAGTTTAAACCCTGAAGGTTTATAAAACTGTTCACTTTTAACTTTTATAGATTTTGGAACCGAATATTTTTAATCCATATAAGGGGAAGATAATGAATTAAGCTGCGGCATACCTGAAGGATGCTGTGTGGGGATCATCACCTGCGTCTTCAAGCAAGGGCAAAATGCCGGATTTTCCATATGATAAGAAGTTTGTTAACTGCTTTTATCTCTCTCTCTCTCTCTCTCTCTCCTGGACTCTTTATGATTAAATTTGAGTTCATTATCTTCTATTTCGTGAGCCAGTGTTTCTTTCCGCACTTCAGATAGTCTGACGCCTTTGAGAAGTTCTGTGATTCTTCATTGTCGCCTGTAGAAGGCGCTCATCTCTCTCTCTCTCTCTCTCTCTCTCTCTCTCTCTCTCTCTCTCTCTCTCTCTCTCTCTCTCTCTCTCTCTCTCTCTCTTCTCTCTCTCTCTCTCTCTCTCTCTCTCTCTCTCTCTCTCTTCTCTCTCTCTCTCTCTCTCTTCTCTCTCTCTCTCTCCTCTCTCTCTCTCTCTCTCCTCTCTCTCTCTCTCTCTCTCTCTCTATCTATCTATCTATCTATCTATCTATCTAGCAGTCTCTTTCTAGCCTGCATCTCCTCTTTTTCCTTAGCGGTATATGCCTCGAGAATACTTCTGGAGCCACAGAGTTATTCCTTTTTAAACACTGACTCAGATCCATATTATTTGGTATATTTTCCGAGCATGTTATATTAAGGACAGTATTTACTTGATCCCAGTTGATGCTCTTACTGTTGAAGCTGAAGACTTGAATTTGGTGGAAACTCCTTAGTGTTTATTTCTGACCGCTGTGTATGCAGGTTTGAACATTGGTTAGGATGTGATCTGAATGTGCTCTTGTATTCCGCACCAATATTCATGAATATGAGGTCAAGGGTAATTTCTAGTCTTGTTGATTCCACTATTGGAAGGCTCGAGGAGAATTCATTACAAAGCTCCAATAGTTAATTTCTGTGAGACTTCTTAAGAGCTTCCTCCTGGGATAATCCCTTGAAATATAGTATTTCCTATATTCTTAAATTTTGGATGTCTGTAATCACCAAGTCACCAAATCACCAAGCAACGATATATTTTATTTTCTTAATTTCTTTGGTCTGTGCTTTTGGCACGCACGTCTATGTTTGATCTGTAAACTATCTCCTTGAATTTCAGCCTAGAGTTTTGCCAGTGTGTTTTTAGTGACATTTGTTTAGTCTGTGAAACTGTTTACTACCATAGAGCTAAATATTCTCACAGACGTGAAGGTCAGAGGTCAGAGAGCTGGGTTTTACTTACCAGTTCCAGCTGGAGCTCGTGAAGGACAAAGACACAGTTAAAAATATGTTATTTTGTGCCTTTATCAAACAGTTTTCCACTTTCAGTAATTAGAGATTTCCTTGTGTATTGAGCTGAGGTTTAGCAGTTCTTAATGCTCATACTAAAGTTTGGTTAGTTCTCAAGAACCCTCACTAAATATCTATTACCTCTCAAGGTTCCGCATTTTTACTGCTCAGTCGAAGTTCTTATAAATCGTCCACTTTGACTTTCTAAGGTAACGACAAGCGTTTTATTAGAGTTTTTGAACCAATGTGTTAAAACTCGCGCCTTTGAGGTGATTCCTTGAATTATACCGACATTCGTTTTCAAAAAACTTAAGGAAGAACTGCAGTAAGTATTTTAGAAATAATAACGCTAATTAGACCTATAACGCTAATTGTTAACCAGTAAACAAAGAAATGCAGTAAGCAAGAAACAAAGAGTTCCACAAACGTTTAAGATCTTGTGAATGCTGTGATTATTATATTAATGATAACGTATTCCATAAATTTATGAAAATGACATGTGCAACATTTGGGTAACATTTCTGCAATAACGATGCCCAAATATACTATACCACGGGCGGGGATTAAACTCGTGGCGAGTGAGTCTCGTAAAACTCCAGCCTAGAGCATTTGTTTGCAATCGTGTCATTACGCTTTCGTGAGTCAAGATGCCTAAATGTTGCTCACGTGTCTTTTTCGTCGATTTTCTTAGATGAGAAACTAGACAGCGCCGTGCCTGCGTCTGCCAATCCCAGAACACTAATACCATATCTTAGAAATAAGAGTTCTACAGATAGTGAAAAATTTGACTCACGATATCATAATAACAGGATTGTAAATATATCTTTGAACGGAGGGTTTGATCTCAAGGGAACCCATGACCTGCTTGTATTAGGACTGGCTTGCCATGGGTTCGAATCTTCTATTCAGTGAATTGAAAAATCTGTGAAATGTGAGAAGTTGAGGTCCTTACCAGCGTTGTGGGACGGATAGTAGTTGCTGTGACCTTGTGTCCAGGAGGTGATGGTAACGAAGTCCTTGACGAATGGAGGAACTTTGCAGTGCAACACTGCAGCGTTGCCCTCCAGCACGTACTGGTTGTACACCTGCACCTCGAAGTACTGCTCAACCA